TTGGCAGCCTGAACCTACAGGAAAGCTGTTGTCTATTTTAGAAGCTTGCGCGCAAGATTCCTCCGACAAATATTGGTTTAAAAATCTGCACTAAGGTTTTCCTGAATCAGAACGACAAGGACTATATGACACAGGGGTTTTAGTATACTACCTAAAATAAAAATATTTCATTTGTAATATAACAAAATTAAATTTAAGAAGTTTTAGTAAATTGTAAAATAAAATAATTCAAGATTGTTTTACATATTATACTAAAACCCCTGTGTCATTTTATAGTCCTTGTCGTTCTGATTCAGGAAAACCTTAGTGCAGATTTTTAAACCAATATTTGTCGGAGGAATCTTGCGCGCAAGCATCTAAAACAGCTTTCCTGTAGGTTCAGGCTGCCAAGATCATGAAAATGGGTCTGGAGGTGCATTCTGATCTTGTTTCTTTGTTAAATGAGATGCAGTGAAACAATATTCACTTACACATTGGTAATAGTCATATGACTAAGGCCCAAGAATTATTTTTTCTGAAAAATGCCAAAATGGTCAGCCTAAAGAGCAACACCCCTTAACGACGTGGTCGCCTTGCATGCCAAAATATTGGCAGTCCTTTTTGACTGCCAATGTTTTGCTTTATATGGAAGGCTGCCAATTTTTGGCCTCCTTGAATGCCAAATTTTGGTCTTCTCTCAAAAAGAAGGCCAAGTTTTGGCATTCAAGGAGGCCAAACATTGGCAACCTCTAATAAGAAGGCCAAAATTTGGAATTCAAGTATCTCTCAACACCTTCAATAACAAGCTATATGCACGCCACGATATCTAACGGAACCAAGACGAGTTAGGAGGAAAGTACGCGGGAATGAGGCCTTGCGGCCCCAAAATTTGAAATGCTCACGGCATCTGTCGGGGACTAATCATGCAAGCTATTCATGGCTGAGCGATTATCGGAGCGTATTACTCTGTTTGTTCGGAAAAAACTTTTTCGGTATGTGTGTCTGTGTATCTGTCTGTCCGCCCGATAACTCGAGAACGAATTGAGCTAGCAACCTGGGATTATCGGGGTCGTTTTGTGTTCTAAAGAGACAGGCCGAGCTCAAAGATGAAAATTCTAGCTCAAAAATGAGAATTTTTAAAAATCAAAAACAACGAGTCCCAAAAATGACGTTTTTGAAAATATTTTTTAATGGTTTTCAAGGGGGTTACTCATCAAAGTAGTCTAGAGCCCCTCGGGCGAAAATTTTGTCCGTTTCGCTCTAGCTCAAACCGTTGAGGCGCTAGAGGGTACATTTTCCAATAGGAAGCCCATGAAAACTCTTAAGCAGTTAGTACTTTTTGCTTGTGAGAGTGACTTAGACATCTTCGTTGTTGTTAATGCCGGCAAATTAAGTTCAATACCTAATCATAAAATGCATATGAGCCCTAAAGTTCCATCTCTAACAGATTTGCGCAGGAAATCTTTCAAAAACTATGATTTTTCGACCAAAAATGTCCTTATTTTTTTCACCATAGTGTCCCCTTAATGTAGCTTCTATCGTCCGTTTGAGTGACGGCTCGCTTTGAACCATCTTTTTGCCAGAACCTTTTCTGTCTACTTCCTAATCAAAACTCAACAAACGAAGCACTCTTTTCATGCGCTGAGCATCTTTGGCTGTGTAAGCCGCAGTTTGTGGAATAAATGCAAGTTATGCCAAATCCCTTCTAAGTTATAGATGTAAGCTTATGAAAAGAATCTATAAGGCTAGACCCAGAAGAAGGTGAATATACTTTCTGGCATACCCTGAAATGACTAGAAACGTGTCCGCAATGATTTCGCTATAATTACTGATAGAAAGGAAGCAGCTTCTGAAGTAAGGGAGGGCGGGGCAGTGTGTAACAGATTAAGGAATTTGTAAAAGTCAATCCGTGAAAAAAAAATAGGTAATTAGGGCCCAAAAAAAAATAGATTGGACCTTTACTAACCATGAAAGTCGCTCGGATGTATTACTAGGCGCATTCTCGTATGACCTACAGCTTGTTGAAAAAAGGTCTGCATTTGTTACACACTGCCCCGGCGCGGGGCAGTGTGTAACGACTGTGGGGCAGTGTGTAACAAAGGCTAGGATTGAGCTGTGGAGACGGGTAGAAAGGGAGAAAACAGCTTCCCCTTCCTTTCTATAAAAGCTGCTGATACAACAACAGTTTACATAAAATTATTTTATTGTTAAAATGGTATTTTCTGAAAATTTACGAGTTTTCAATTGAAGACATCAAATTGGTACTTATTTTGGATATATTTTGTGAACTTGAAATATGAACAAAAAGTTGTGCCTGAGTGAGACTGTTAAGGCACAGGCAAGGTGGATTAAGGGACGGTGGCGGCACTCAGTTCCTGAGCGCGTATACCGTATCTGTCCCCGCCCGGCTGCCGCGCCGCCTGCCTACCTCCCAGGGCTGTAGGCTGGCGGCGCGCCGGCGCGCTATGGGGCGCTCGGGGTTTTTCGGCCCTAGCGCCTTTCCTATTGATTTTAGAGGGTTGGTCAAAGCGAGCCGATTAAAGGGCTTGATGTAAGCTATCGAATGAGCACAAGCCGAAGTCTGTGCGACAATTCTGAGAGGATTGCCAGCGAAATTAGTTTGGCGCCGGAACGCGCGCTTGGGTAACTTCGCTCCTGACGCCTCCCCCGTTGGTTTTAGACGAAATTACATCCTCTAAGCGATTAAAGAGCACTAAAAAACCTTTAAAATGAGCTATCACCGAGGTCGATACGACCACTCAGTGAGCTGTGACATCGGAATTAGTGTCGCGCCCGGCCGCCGCGGACCGAGATTCCGTCGCACGCTCGGCTATTTTCGCATCTCGCTCCTTTCTTGTTCATTTCAGCACAAAACTGGTAGGGAATGAAGATGAAGAGGACGAAATAATCTTTCGAACGAACTTACACCGAAGTCGATACGACAAGTCTGTCAGACGCAGCGTCGCATCATAGAAATAAGAGCTAGTTTGGTGCCGGTCCCGGTCTCCGCTTTCAACAACAACAACAATCCCAGCCCAGCTGACTGAGACTGGAGTGACGGCCAAGGCCGCACAGCTGAGAAGTGTGCTAAGGCTGAAATTTTCTATTTTGTTCAGTTTTACAGTTTTAGTACGGCTCAGAGAACTTTTCCCGAAAGACGCGACGACCCCTGAATACCAAATGATGTTCACAGAAGGTATTTAATTCTCACCAACGAAATGTTCTGGCGACCAGCTGATGCTTTAGAGGGTTATGATATGGTACATTGGTAAGAAAACAACTTTAACAGGTTGACATTCTGGCAAGCAATTGACTTGCACTTGACAGTGAAACAATCTTTAATTTCAAGTATGTATGTTGTGCTTTCAATTTTTTTTATCAATCTTGTGAGAACTATATTATTTTCACTTTGTTAACTTTGTTGACTAGACCAAAACATTTGTACTTTGGTAATTTTGTCTAACATTTATCTTCTAAACTGGCACAATTTTGAATTTTTTAATTACGTCTTTCATCCTTTTCCTTTTGTCAGAATCTTCCATTTTTGTCCTGTTATATTGCTTACAAGTGAAAATCATTCTTGTTGTAATATAAAAGCGAATTATGTCCTTGGTTAGCTGTCTTTGGTGCTCCTCACAACCAACTGGTGTATAGGAATGCACTTTTGCATTGTCAACGACTGGAAAAAAATAATAACTCTAGGGTAAGTGAACTCGACATATTAAAACTTATATTTGCTGTCTAAGATAACTGGTGTTACCTTCGAAGAGAAGATTTTCATGGATTTGAACATGCTGAATTGTATGGCACATTGAGTCCTCCAGACTGTATATAATTTTATAGAGTGCTTCAGATGGTTTGAGTAAATGGCCGTCACTTCTTTTCTCTATTATGGAATCATTTTCATTTTGAGAATCTGGAGGTGCTTGCAACATCTCAAAACACTTGTCACAGTGTTTTGCAGCAGTAGCTCTTCTAGCTTTTCTGGCAACATAACCACTGAACATATGTAGAGCCTTCTCATCTATTTTATTTCTCTCTTCATAGGCATGTTCGAACAGTGAAGTCAGTGATTCAACAGGCTCGCCACTGTCCAGCAGATTATCAAGCTCCTTCTCAAACTCAATTCTTCTTTGCTTTTCTGTTTCAGAAATAATATCTGTTGAGCTGAGAAGGGCATTCAACATTTCTCCACCAGTTATATTGCTTCCCCGAGGAGGTTTAAGGCGTTTACACCGCCCGAGTTGCAAGCGAAATCCGCTAGGGCTCGCCACTGTCGGCAGCGCAGCGGCTAGGCTGGCAGAGTGGCTGCCGGCGGCCGCTGCCAGCTCGGTGCGGGAGGCTGTCATAGTTGGTCAAACATCCCAGGACCCCAATAAGTGAATAGACTATGCAGGGCTACTGGCTGGACGCTACCTGGACGTGGACGTGGTCGAGTCGGCCGACAGGAGTCGCGAGAACAAAAGGTGTCCCCCTCCCCCTCCCCTCCCACGCACTGCACCGCTGCAGCGGGGTGCGGGTGCGCTGTGCTGAGGACGGCGGACCGGACAGGCGAGCGAGCGCGGCCTGGCCCGGGGCTCCAGCCGGCGGCTCTCGGCTAAGTCCTGGGAGTCGATTCCGTTCAAAAATTTACTTATTTCAAGATATATATAAAAATGATCGGCGTTTCACACACTGCAAAACAAGCCCCACTTTGCAGATGCATTTAAAAAAAAGTTAATATT